CACATGGTTGACATCCCTGATTGTGTTAGCATTTTAATTGCTTATTTCATCTGATCCTAATTTCGATTCTTGATGAGGTCTCACTGATAGTAATTCTCACTAAACATTTATCCCTAAAAAGATTCATTTATGTGAGAGCTTGTGAATAAAGAGGTATAAATCAGTCAAGTGCCCATCTGGATTTGTTATTCAGGCTGCTAACTGATAAAGGTTTATGTATTTTGATCAGTTTCAGTCATGATTGAGATGGAGACTTCAAATCAACTACCTCCCAGCAAATAATACAGGTATGAATTCAGTATGAAGGCAACTTCAGTATCATCACCCATTTTGATTGCTGTGGTACAGTGTATATCCATTTCCTCTGCTGATCAGGTAGAAAAGTTACTGAGGAGAGGTGTTATGCACATTATTTTGAAAAACAATATGTGACTCATTCCCCAAACATATCCACTGCATGCCTTAATAGTTTTAAGCCAGAAGATGAGCTAAGCAGCAGCAAACACCAAGAAAACTCATTTCTGATGAAAAATGCAGGGGACTGCAAAGTCCAAGAATGGGATGACAACCATGTATCCTAAGAAGCAACTTCTTATGTCCCGTAAAGTGGTGCATTATGACACTCAGGCAGAGTTTTGAACTACCAGAAAGTGACTGGGGAGATCAGTAGGATGATGGGCAGCACTAGAAAAGGAAGCTACAATTGCTTACTGCCTCTGCTTCTTGGGAATGAGAAGAAAATGCCTGTATATGTGTTCATACACAGGGGTGTGAGTTTGTGGTGCTTCAGTCAGCTCAGGGCAGTGGAGATATGGACAGGATAATTGAAAGCAGTTGTATGGGCAAGGTTAATGCATGTTGGTCTAATACAAATATTCATCACATGAGCACCAACTTGGCCCAGCTTGCCATGCTACTGTGTCTGTTGAGGGCGTTTAATATGGTGCACAACCAGCATGTCCTTCCAGGTATTTCCTTGAACGAGTTGAATGGTGAACAAAGAACAAGCTACTGTGGAGACTCTGCACCACAGCTATTGGGGTGTTTCATGGGGAACCTTGACAAAACTGTCTCCCCTCATCTCTTTCTGAGATGTCAGCATGCAATGCCAAAACACTAGGAACATAAAAAAAAACCCCAAACCAAAACAAAAACCCCACCATTTTTGGATCTCTAAAGGACTAAATGAGCAGGTAGTGTTCAGACAAGGCTTTCAAGTAAAAATAATTATCATTAAGCTGACTGTGAATGTTTACTTGATTAAAATCTTTTGCTTGTTTTTAACCTGGCAGAAAATTTATAAGATTACTGTAAAAAGACTTCCCAGGAAAAGGAGGAAAAGCAAATAATTCTTGGGAAACTATTTCTAGTGTATTACCAAACAATATAAAATCTAAATTAAAAGCTGCCCTTCCACTGACTTATATTAAGACTGATACTGATTATGCACTTACAAAGAAACAAAATACTTCAGTATGGAAAGTAATTTTGAAGGTATTTGGCCATTTCAATGACTTAAATAAGGCCTTAAGTAGAAATTATATATTCTATTATTCTATGTTCTATTAATATAAATTCTATATTATATATAGAAATTATAAATTACTATAAACATTGGGCTGAGAGCTCCTCTTGTGCCAGGCTCTTGTGAGCCCACGAGTGCTCTAGACTGACTGTATGCTTTTTTTCAGTGCCTGAAAACCACCACCTCATGTCTGTTGAGATATATTACATTTATGTATACACAATTGATTAAAAATCTCTGCAGTTCAGAATAAACTGAAATCTCTCCCAACATTTTCTAAGGTTCAAAAGTTACCTTGTCCTCTTTGGTTTAGAATTTTTTATTTGTGTTACAATGCTACTAAACATTTTATGTGCAATTATTCCATTGTTTTGACACTGTGAAAATTTTTTTATTAGTCAAATCTAGGCAACTGGAAAATAATAGAATTCTTTTGAAAATTGATGCTCTGAGGTTCTGGGGACTTTATGCTCTTTTCATTCCATAACAAAATCTTATATCATGAATTTCTGCAAAATGAAAACTGTATTTACTGGAATGCTCAGAAATTTTATTTCCTTGATTTGGACGTGCTACAAACAATAAAAACATTGCTTTCATTAATGACTTAATTACAAGGAAATTATTTTTGTTAATCATGGATCAGCTTTTTTCTCTGTTTATTTAAAAGTTCAAACTATCCATCAAATGCTAAAATTGTTCTTTTTCTGCAGTAAACTGAAACAAAATACTGTATTTGGCGAAATCTGTTAAACCTCACACTTTAGAGGGAAGTATTATTACAAAAAAACAAAAAAAAAGATTACTGGACTCAGTGCAACAGTTACAATGTGAAAAATGGAAATTCTATGAACATTATTTCGTTTGAACATTATTTGAACATAATTCTGCAGCATTATTTTGCCTTGGACTTAAAGTAGTCTCAACCAGTTTGTTTAGACAGACTCCTCGGTGGTCAGTGGCAGCACCTGGTCTGACCAACAACAGAAAAAAGATTCTTTTCAAAAACCTTTAGCAGGCATTTCTCTAAAAGCTAATATCATAAAGGATATAGAGACTATATTAATGACAAAAATTTGTAAATGCACACCTTGTTCCTATGCTCATGGAAGACAATGACAGAGCCCTCATTAACCTTGGTCTTGAAGGATCAAGTTGTTTCCTCTTATAACCTCCAAGTGATTTGGTGAAAGCAACTGATCAATCCTGCCACCACCATGTGTGACAGATGTTAGTCTTGATGTTAGGGATGAATGCACCAAGGTGAAATAGTTAGTTCAGGTTCTGCAGTGATTACGCACTGAAGATGGACAGTACTCAGTTGCTGTCCTCGGAGCTAATCATAAAGAAATAAACTCCCTTGCTCGACAAGAGATTGTGAAAGACACCTTACAATCTTGGATCAACCAACATGGTGAATGAAACATATTTTGGCTTATGTATTATAGAAATACATTGGGTATGTTCAGTGTGCAAGCTCACTGGACACACTGTATTTGAACAACTTGCTCCTGTCTTGCCTAACCTGTCAATGTCTTTCAGTTCTCAGCTGTCATTTGGCCAACCCTCTCCCACCAGTAACTTACAACTTTCAATTTCTAGTGTGCAGTTTTGTTCATCCAGAGGATATCTGCGTAGGTCCATCATGCAAGCGGCTGTCGTTGTAATCCTGTAAGAGGAGGATGAAAAAAATAATGAGACTTGAAAACACATTTTATTATTTGAGATGGCAAGATTTTCTATTGTGGCTTTTCTCTTTGTTTAAATGTAGAATGGTTCTGCACATGAATTCCTGGCATATAGGCTTCATAGCGCTTATAAAGCACAATTAAATAATTTATTCAGCACAATATAGTGGTTAATGTATAAAGCATCAGAGCATATCCTGAATATTGTAAAGCAGGATTTTGACTGAAAACCTTACGTGAAAAAGTGCTTGGAAGAACATTCAGTGATATTTCTACTTGGGCATCTTATTTTTAATGTTCTTAATTCAGACACCTTCAAATTGTTGTGTGAATTTTTTATTTATAACTCATACTGCTGATAGCTTTCTTTCTTCATTTTATTGTTGCTTACTGTTGTTTTAATTTTGTCTGATAGGTATGTGCACTTTCATCCATTCTGTGGAAATACTGGTGATACCTTTTTCATTAACTTTATGGTTTCATAATCAGTTTATCATTAACTATGACAATTGAACATCACCTCTTAATAATGGCATGAGGCAATCAAACGCTTGTGAAATATAACACTGTATGGTGGCTACTTCATGCATGTTGAGAGTAACTGTGATTGCAATCTGGATATTTCAGATCCTTGCTCCTTCTAGAGGGCATGTGAGTTGATACTTGGTCTCTAAAGGTATTCTCCATAGCCTAAGACTTTTTGCAAAGCAATTCCTCTCCCTTTGGTTTACCATAAATCACAGAGCATCTGAGCAAATACTTGCTGATAAGCCTGTGACGTGTGGGAGGAAGGTTAAGAGACTTTGTGAGGATAGGGGTCGAATCTTAGTTTTCTTAAATGTCCCTTTAAGAAAGACAATCATATTGGTGTTTTCAAACTCACAAAAGCGAGTTATCATCTACATTTGCCTTTTGTTTTTTCTTTTTTTGGTGATAGATGGGTTCTTAAATGCTTACAAAACTTTTGGAGCTGTGAATGGGCAAACTTGATTTGTAATTTTATTGGTCTCTCTCTCTCCAGCTATTTCTACCAGAGAAAGGCAGATAACCTCTTTTCTTGATGTGGATTTGGTTCTGTTGTTCCAGTTCCATGTTAATTAATACCACAGGAGCACATCTTGAGATTTACTTTTGATGTGCTGAAAGTCAAGCACACTTACATGCTGTATTGGGCTGATAATCCTTGCTGTCACCAAACTGACAGAATCAAAAGAGGAAAAAATGCCACATGCTTTATTATGTGACATGCTTCAAAATATCCTAAGTCTACAAAATTCACCTGTCATATCTAAGTATAAGGACTAGAAATGGCTGTAATGAGAACCCATCCATGAAACTATTCTGGAATACTGTGTAAAGTGCCACGGAAATGGTATACGTATACTTTTTCTCAGGCTGATTTTTGTCACATTAAATTGAAATGCATGTGTCTTAACAGGTTTAGCATTTGTCACAAAAAAGGTCAAGGGCTTCAGCTGTGGTAGGACCTCATTTAGATTAGCCATGTACCAACCGCACCTTACTGACAGGCATTGAAAAGACATGCAGCACTAATTTGTCAGCCGCCTGCTTAATAATGCTTAAGGTCATACATAACAATATACTAACATTAGTCACAGTTAAATGCTTTTTTAATGAAGGTTTCATAGGGCAGTGTTTTGTTCCCAATTAATAAATTGGCTTCTATGGTAATTTAGTTCACCTATATCAATCAGATTTATTTATGTACAGAAGTAGAAGTTGACATAGTGTTTTCTAAACCTCTGCAGTGGTGCAACACACCCCTGCCCCATCCTCACGCTGCTCTATGATTTCCAGAACTCCTGTTAGGCTTTGGCTTTTGAGTAACGAGTTGAATGGTGAACTGTACCTAGACTGTGCCAGAAACTCTTGCTTGGCTAAGGTGGGGGTGGCACTGTCTCTACAAGGGACTCCTGTTGCCTGACCAAGGAGAGGAATGAGAGATAATCATCCATCCCCTGACAACCTCGGAACCTTACTTACCTGGATTGTAGCCCGAGTGAAACAGTATCATTGCTACCGAATTTTTTAAGAACTCCAGTGATTACCAGCTTGGATTATAGCCAGGATGGAAACCAACAAACAGTTTTTGACCCTATAAGAAGCTGTTCTAAGTGAGGCTTTTGGTAATACATTTAACAGTGATTCTTTGAGTGACCTTAACCACTCATTTGTGACAACCATGGTGTTTAAGTGGCCAGCTATTTCCTAATGGCCAGTGTATCTGTACTGCTGACTTCTGCAGTTTTTACATAAGCTATGTAAGTAACAGCAATTAGCTATTTTTCACAGCATCAATGCAAATTAAGAATGTAGTAGTAAATAGTGCAGTTGTTCATACTTGGAATTTAAATACCCTACATAATTTTTCCCCTGGACATGAATTCTGATAACTGTGTTGTCTTCTCACTATTTGTGCAGTTTTTGGTGCACTGCATCGTTTGGTGTTTCTGATCTCTAATATAATCCAAGAATAAAAGTTAATGTGTGGGCTACTAAGACACTGTACTGCTAATTGCAGGTGGGGTCTGGAAGTAAATGCTTGGATTATAGAGAAGAAAGTTAATAAACACCTAGTATTGGTTTCTGGCAGCAGTAGGTGATCCTTGAAACTAGCTGCTTGTAATTGCAGTAGGAGTTCTTCAGGATCCAGCAACATTCATTACCTGTAATTCATAAATCTGCTTTTCAAGTATTTCTTTCTCCCTCATGATAGAGCTCAGCTGTGTAAAATTGTTAATGGAATTATGCTCTGTATAATCACAAAACTTGTTTAAGGAGATAAACTAAACCCAGATGCAATCATAGTAATTGTTATTTCGATGAAAAAAATAAAATCTTTTATTATAAATATAGTAAAATCCCAGACCTGTTAGTGGTTGTACTCTCTCAAAGGAGAGAGTAACTGATGGCTTGCACATCAGTTAAAAATAAAGACATTCAAATGCAGAATACAGGAGTGTAATAGCAGGAAGGGGAAGGCAACACCCTGAAGATAGGGCAAAACTGCAATTAATCTGTGTTCAAGAGGATTAGATCTGAAAGTCCCTCACACAAGCAGTTTGTGGCAAAAAATCCAATGCGCAGGCTGGAAGGTGGAAAGACCTTCCCCGGTTCTTCGTTCGCGAAGAGACTGGCCATCATCCCAGGTGGAGGATTAATCCTACACTTGAAGCAGAGCTATTTATATTTCAAAGTAGGATATGTTTCTTCCAGGCTTTCCATTCTTAAAATATGTTTTAAATTCTGGTGTTGGAGCTAATGTATTTTCTTTATAGGGTGACTTTGACCATACTGTCCTTACATTCTTTAGATTCATTTGGATACAAATGAAAAAAAATGGGATTATGCAAAGAAGGCAAGTAGTTAGAGATATATGATTACGCTACTTAATTTCATTCATGTCAGTGCTCAGACATTCTGGGATGGAATGAAGTCTGAACTGCCAACAGGCAAGATAAATAGCATTTGCATAAAAGCAAAATTAACTGATTTTTTTTTTTCAAAATTGTGGCTTGGGGTTGAAGTTATTTGATCCACTGCTTAGCTTGTACTTTGATGCCTTACTCTCTGAATATCATATTCTTACTGTAAAAGCAAAGTTTTTTTGGCTAAAAATAAAATTATATGAAAGAAAACACTGACATCCAGTATTTGCAAAACTGACTTCTTAATAATAAGTAATAAGTAATACTGTCAGAGATTTCCCTGCAGGGCAGCAGGTTTTGTAGGAACAAATGGTAAAGCTTAATATTCTGGATTAAATCATCAATGAGCATTTAAAGTAAGTTCAGAATGAGTACCGGAAGTGGATTTATGGTTTAGTACTTAGAGCATTTCCTCAAAATGTTGCCAAAAACCCGATTCTCAATTCTTGGATAAGAAATAGAAGCAATATTTAAGACAGCCATAACAACTAAATGTGAAGATGATCAGAGCTAAATAATGCAAATTCTGTTGTGAAATGTTTCCTTCATTTGGAGGACAGGTATCAAATTTTAATATGTTTATTCTCTTTCTGTCAGTCAACAGAGCATAAATTATAAATGTATATGAAGTTATGAAGTGGGATGGACTAATTTTTTTCCTTAAAGGCTAAATAAAATCTGCAAATCAAGTAAAGAATAAACATGCTTCTCTTAACCACTGCAGAGCTGGATTTCTAGTATATGCTGGAAGTAGACTGTCATATCCCAGGTAAAACACTGTTTTTGTTAAATGAGTGTAATTTAACTTCAGTGATATCAGGAAACCTAATCCCCTAGCAACTGTTTTACATCAGAACCTAGACCCATATCCCTGGTGTAATTTACCTAATTTTTCTGGAACCTAGAAGAATTTTGATGTTAAAGATTTAATGGGATGTCTTGTAGGGAAAGTCATTGAAGGAATAGAGGAAGGCAGAAAAAAATGTACATTTAATCTGAAAATTTTCTTCTCTGTCCATGCCATGTATAAGGTTTACAGTTGTCATGCCTGCTGACACTGTACATTCCCAATGACTCCCACTGGCCTGCAATGCTGTAGCCTCCTCCTCCTCTGACAACATGTTCCTTTTCTCCCAATCTACCCTTTAGTTGCCTACACTGAACTTTGAGTGAATCGTGAGCAGCTCAGCAGTAAGGTTGGTAACCTCAGGTATCGAGGTCTTGAGCTCGTATAGCTGCACACAGAAAAGGACACATGGTGAAATTTTGCAATGTCTTTCAAGGGGTAAAACACTGCTTGTAAGACAAAAATAGCTGCAGTGGTTAACAAAAACCCAAACCAAACGAAAAAGCAACCCAAAAGCAAACCAAAAAACAAATCCACAACAAACTATTGAAAAAAATCAGAAGATGAAGTAACTGTAATAGCACCACTGGCTAGTGCTGTAGCATAGTAATGGACAGGGATTCATCTATTTGATTTGTCTATTGCTGTGTATATAGTAATATCCCTGAGAGTGAATAGACTTGTC